AGGAACGCGGGGGCTCGGGGTGCTGCCAGGCAGAGCTGTGGCCCGTCAGTGCCAGCAGGGCACGGAAGGGCAGGAATCCAGGCAGCTGTGAGATGGTTAGACAGGACTGATGCACCGAGAGAGAGACCCGAACAGGAGCATTTGAACGTGCAAGGAAGTCCCTGCCACATAGACGTGGAGACTCCCATCAGCACCTGACAATCCAAATATACTTGGATTTCAGTACTAGAGGTAAAGACTTAAGAATCGCCGTCTGTTGTCTGAACTTTGGAAGCAGGTGAATTCCCTAAGAAGGGGTTGGGAGAGCCGACCCATTAGCTAAACTTGGAGTTAAAGTCTTCACTAAGGACTGCATGAAGAGGAGCCATGGAGAGAAGGGGTGATGAGAAGGAAAGCCAGTGGAGCTTAGAGCGGAGATGGCCCTTCTGTGCTGAGCCCTGAGGTGGACATTGCTGGGAGAGGGGGTGAAGCCCTAGTTTATCCCATGTCTCCCCCAGCTCCTCTCTCACAAAATTGTGATAGGTAGGCCACATGCGTCTTCCTCTAAGTCACTGGTGAAAATATCAAACAAGGCAGGCCTGGCAGATGACTCAGTGGCTGAATACCAGCCTCGCACATGCGAGGATCCCACATTGGTGCCAGTTCGTGTCCCGGCCACTCCACTCCCCATCGAGCTCCTTTTGGCCTGGGAAAGCAGTGGAAGATGGCCCAAATCCTTGGGACCCATGTTGTAGGCCCAGAACAAATTCCTGTCTCCTGGCTCCAGCTCAGCTCAGCTCAGCTCAGCTCAGCTCAGCTCAACTCTGGCCATTGAAGCCACTTGAGGAGTGAACCAGCGGACAGATCTTTTCCCTCTGTCTCTCCTTCTCTCAGTAAATCTGCCTTTCCAATAAAAATAAATATTTTAAATACATTTTTTTTAAAAAAGAACTCATTGCTAAAGTGACAGGAGCAAATTATCACATACTCATTACCTCTGATTGTAAATGACTTAAACTCATCAACAAAATGTCATAATTAGTAGACTGGATTAAAAAACAAAACCCATCTATTTGTTGCTTATAAAAGACATCTCACCAACAAAGATCAGTGGGAACTATCTCATGGATTTTGATGGTTTTTGATTTAATTTTTTCATAACTCATTAAATTCTTCACTGACTCATTGAGCATATAAGTAGCATCATTTTCTTCAAGAAGGTTCTTGGTTTTCTTTTTCGTTTCTTCAGCGGCACATTAAGCATTCAGTGGCATGCTATTTAACTTCATGACATTGTAAATTTTTCTTTTTCTTCCTGTTGTTGATTTTGTGTTGTGGCTCTTCATTTAAGGGGATGTATGGTAACTGTGTAATGGAGACTGTCATATCCAGATGTGAGGCTACGATGCAGTGTGCATCTCTACTTCCAGATCAAAGATGGACTCGCAATGAAACTGTTGGATATATCTGGACAGCAGGATGCTGGACTCTGCCATTGTCCATGCCCGCAATGATGGACATGTGACTGTGTATGAAGAACTATACTGTTCTAATAATATAGGAGAAATTAGTGCGGAAGGGAGGGGACTTGGAGAGGGGATAAGGAAATCCCAGAGCATGTGGAAATATAAAGTGATAGTAATAAAAAATGAAAAAAAGGTTAGAAAATATCTAACAAGGCAAGACGGAAGGCAAGCAGTCCCGTGGTTTGCCCTTCACCCGTGCCTCCGGGTTGGAGCGGGGAGTGACTGTGAGTGGGCAGTAAGCTTTGTCTGTCTGCTCACGTCTGCCTCCCTTACTAACTCCCTGTTGAGGTCCAGCTGAGCCCCCAGAAGCCAAGGAGGAAAGGGTGGCAGGTGGTAGCTGGCATTAGCAGTAGCACATGCCCCCAGAGAGGCCATGGTGGATGGGGTCAGTGAAGACGGAGACTCATGGTGGCTGTCAAGCCATTGTAACCCATCTGCCCTTGACCTTAGCCCATCAGCTGTTAACACAAGACGGTGGAACTTCACCTCGTATGTGAGTTTGGGGTGCCACATCCTGTCCCAGTCCACAACGGAGGATGTTATGGCTGTCACCCGGTCCCCAGAAAAGGAAGTAAAGATGTGGGGGGAAGGAAAGGACCAGGAGATGGGAGGAGAGGCCAAGGTGTTGCCTCAAGCTCTTCTCTGCCTGCCTTCCTTCCCGTCCACCATGATGGGCTTCCCCAACTCTGAGGCTGCCCCGTCCTCCTGTGGTCCCCAGACTTCGGCCAAAATACAGCTCGTCTTTTCCAAGAAGCTTTCCTCCCAGGCGCGGGTGGATAGTCCTTGTGCATTGGAGAGCGGCCTGGCTGCACAGAAACAACTGGAACACTCACAGCTGTCAATTTTATTTCTCTAGAAGATTCTGTAAGTCCCGACTAGAGGGTGCTTTTACCGTGTGCAGTCAAGTGGATTGTGCCCACCTGAAAGAATCAGCTTTGCCCAGATCTCCCAGTGACCCCAGTCACTTCCCACCAGGAAATGTGGCCGCGGGTTCTGGTGTGTGCACACGGACAGCGCTCCCCTTTCTGCCTCGGCTGCCAGTTCACCAGGACCATTTGGCACAGAATCCATGCACTGGGGCACCGCCTTGCGAGAATCCTCAGGGAAAGGGTTACGGTTCCGAGCGTTAGGACTTGAAAGGCCAGGGATCAAGGAGCCAGGCCCTTTAAAATTGGCAGGTGCAGTGGCTCAGCCCGTAATTGCAAGGTGTAATTGCAAGTCAGTCATGGGGAAACCTATTTAAAAGTCACGGGGATTTTTTTTTTTTTAATGAAAAGCCCAACCAGTACGGAGTGTCCAGGTCTTCCTGGAGGTGGAGGTGGGGGAGAGGGCCCTGCAGACACCCCAGGATTCCTTGGAACCCCATCTCCCTGGGGCAGGCGAGGCAAGTGCGGCTTCTGCCTTGACACGGCAGTTGCCTTCTGTGCCCAGAGGTCTTGGTGCACAGAGCAAAAGTCCTCGACGATCCTTGCTACACTTGTCACCCTTGGTTCCTGTCACAAAACACTCAAGGCAGACCCACGTACAGAACAAGAGGCATCCTTGCGGCGCACAGCCTGGCCCTCAGCTGACCAGGGTCTCCTTGCTGGCAGAGTCCCGAAGGGGCACATGGACGGCCTCCTGTTGAAATGCCACAGTCACATTTCTACCCTGTCCCTGCTGAGACTCAAACTCCTGCTCATGCCAAGCCCACCATCTGCAGAGCGTCCCCTTCAGGCAAGCCGGGGACTTTGCCCAGAGGAGGAGCCCCGAATCCATGTTGAGCTCTGGCTTCTCTCTCACCGTGTGGAGCATCCCTGCCCCTGCCACTGGCCCTCACAGGAGTCAGTCCACATCGGCACAAACACGTACTCCTGGGAGGCCCGACCAGCTAGAGGCCGCAGGCCTTACCCGGGAGGCCCAGCCAGCCAGAGCCAAGGGCCGCAGGCCTTACCCGGGAGGCCCTGCCAGCCAGAGCCAGGGGCCCAGGCCTTACCCAGGAGGCCCTGCCAGCCAGAGCCAAGGGCCTAGGCCTTACCCTGGCGCTCACAGCCAGGGTAAGCACAGTACAGCCAGGACAAGTGTCATTGGCCCAGGGACCTGCCACAGCCAGGGGTAGACACAGACCTTGAGGAGGCCACTGGCCCTCGGGGCAGGGACAGTCCCGTGTCCCAAGTCCAGGTGCTCTCAGGAGAAGCCAGCGGTTTGGGTGAATTTACCCTGAAAGAGCTGATGGTGTGCACCTGCAGCCCCATTGATTGTACGCACCTGCAGCCGCATTGGTTGTACGCACTTGCAGCCCCATTTGTTCCAGGACATGCAGAGTGGCCTTGCCTTTCTCCTGCGGAAACCAGGAGTGTCACAAACAGCATGCTGAGGAGGACAAGTGTCCTGTTCCTGGGTGCTGCTCTTGGCCCCAGCACGAGGGAGGGCTCTGCTAGCTGTAGAGGGTGGGGGCCTGAGCATGCCGCCAGGCCAAGGGGTGGCTGGAGATGGGCGGGGCGGGCGCCCTGCAGCCTGGAGGGAAGGGCTGTCGGGGAGCTGGCCTAGGCCCCCGGGCAGCGGGCGCTGAGCTGAGAGTGGAAGGTCAGAGGGTGTGAGGTGTGAGCTAGCCAGAGGAAGGACTATTGCCACTGGTTCTTTTTTTTTTCCCCCAAGATTTATTTATTTTTATTGGAAATGCAGATATACAGGGAGGAGGGACAGAGGAAGATCTTCCGTCCGATGGTTCACTCCCCAGGTGCCGCAGCTGCTGGAGCTGAGCCAATCTGAAGCCCGGAGCTCTTCCAGGTTTCCCACACGGGTGCAGGGTCCCAAGGCTTTGGGCCATCCTCAACTGCTTTCCCAGGTCACAGGCAGGGAGCTGAGTGGGAAGCGGGGCCACCGGGATTAGAACCAGCGGCCATATAGGATCCCGGCGCATGCAAGGCAAGAACTTTAACCACTACACTATTGCGCCGGGCCCGCCACTGGTTCTGAAGGTTTATTTATTTATATATTCGAAAGGCAAAGTGACAAAGAGAAAGCAAGTCTTCCATCTGCTGCCTTATTTCCCCAATGACCATGACGTTCAGACTGGTCCAGCTCGACAGCAGAAGCTACGAAGGAACTGGGTCTCCCACACAGGTGGCATGGGCTCCAGCACTTGGGCCATCTTCCGCTGTTTTCCCAGGCACATAAACAGTGAGCTGGCTCAGAAGTGGAGCTGTCGGGACTTGAACCAGCATTCTGATTTGTGATCCAGTGTGGCAGGTGGCACACTGCTCCAACAGAGCATCTGCATCCCTGGGTCTCTTGATCCAGGCCCAGCACTGACACTCCGCCATCACAGGCTTGTTTCCGTGTCCCCACGTCCTCACCACGCTGATTACACCTGTAGAGCCTGGAGTGGATGCAGGTGGCCGCGCCCGTACCTGCACCCGCGCCCTCCGGCCCTTGCTGGCAGGGCACTCCCCGAGGAGCTATCTCCTGCCTCGCGAATGTTCAACTCTTGCTCTCCTCTCTCCTCTGTTTCAGAGCAAGAAGAAAACTTTGAGTTCATCATTGTGTCGCTCACGGGCCAGACGTGGCACTTTGAGGCCACCACATATGAGGAGCGAGACGCGTGGGTGCAAGCCATTGAGGGCCAGATCCTAGCCAGCCTGCAGTCCTGTGAAAGCAGCAAGAATAAGGTAAGGCGGCATGGTGGGCTGGCTGGGCCAGGCACAGAGAGGGCCAGGTAAGGCGGCGTGGTGGGCTGGCCGGGCCAGGCACAGGGAGGGCCAGGTAAGGCGGCGTGGTGGGCTGGCCGGGCAGGCCACTGCTCTTGGAGGGGAGTGAGCATGAGACCCAGGAGAGAAAAGCATCAATACGCCAAGTGAGGTTGACCAGCTGGCCGGTGGGAGTGTTCTGTGTTGTTGTGGCTGCCCTGAGCTCTGCCAGGTTGTGCAACAGCATCTTGACTCTCCCAGCTAATCCCAGAGCGGTGGAACTCTTGTGTCGTGGGAGGGGCAGGGGGAGTCTTTGGGGCTCAGAGTGTTTGTGCCAGCACATTTATTTCATTTGAAAGAGAATATACCCAGATGAAGAGTCCCGCATCCCCACGATGGCCCAGATGCAAACCCACCTCCAGCTGGGAACCGCCTCTTGCCAGGAGTGTACGCGGAAAAGAGGGGCAGGATACATCTGTCTCCTAACCGCGCACGAGGACCAGCGTGTGTTTTCTTCAATAATTACAGAAAATCCTTCTTGCAGTTGTTTAGCAAGGGGGTCAAAAAAAAAAAGAGAGGGGGATTTTAAACTGTATTTTCTAGGCTGCTACCCAGCAGTATTCCTGATTCAGAACTCATTTTTCTGTCAAGTGGCTTTATTGTAATGACGGGTGTTTCTAGGCCCTTTGCTGGGATTTGAGGTGCTGAGAGAATCCTCCAGTATTTTCAGATTAGGATCAGCTGGAGCAGGAGAGAGAGGGATGGTGCCCAGCAGCCTGCAACAGCAGCGTTTGTAACCAGTTGGGGAAGTCTGAGCTACTGCTCGCTGCTCAGCCGCATCGTTAAGAAGGGAGTCTGTCTCGGAAAAGGCAGTATCTCACTCTGTTACCCTCCTTAGCCGGGTAAACTGGACAACACTCGTTGTGACTGTAATGTAATTTGCTCCCTTTTTCAAGCATGGCAGAGAGCCCCCTTGCCTGCCTTCCAAGGGTCCTGGCTCACTGGGCCACGGGCACCTGCAGCCAGACGTGGCTCCCCAGGCGATGCTCCTTCGGGTGCCATTGTCCACGGGCAGCAAGGCCATCCCCACACCTACGGGTCTGCTCCCTGAGCAGGTGAGGGCGGGCATCGCTTAGCAGACAGGTGCAGTTTGGTGCAATGGAAATAAAACGCTCCGTCTCCTGTCAGAATGGACGGCTTCCCACCTCAGGCCACTGCCACTTCCGGCCTCCCTCTGCGTGTGGCCCTGCGGCTCAGGAGCATGCTTGCTGTCCTGGGTGGCTGCTGCAGAGGCGCACCCCGGGCCCTGGGAGCGAGCTCGGCAGCGACCCAGCTGCCTGTGGGTGATCAGGAGTGGACGCAGACAAGGGAGCCAGCAGACTAGCGGCCAGCAAAGCACGGAAGTGCACGGGGGAGAGTGAGAGGTGTCCCTCTGCATGTGCACACGTGCACTCCGCACAGCAGCCTGAATGGTTACACCTGCTCGGAATACTTGCTTGGCAGTCCAATGGGGATTGAAATCTCAGTAATTCCATGGTGCTAATTGGCAACAGTCATTAGTTATAATTTATCTTTAGATAATAAGTAGTAAATTGTTTCTCATCAAGGAATTTGACAAGGCCTGGCTCAGCTTATGAAGAATTCTTACAGAGATATCAAGCGTCTTATAACCATCCTCAGAGTTTGGTGTGCACCTGACCCGATATTAGATCTGTGTTTGCTAAATGGAAAACGTCAAAACTCGGCCTCCCTTTTACCCAGCGCCTCCAGCCCAGGGACTCCTCCTCAGTAAGGGATGTGTGCAGGTCTAACGGGAGAGTTCCTTCCAGTGCTGTTTATGAAAGACAAAGATTTATGTTTATGCAGACAAAGATGTCTGCAGCCCAAAGGGCCCCCAGGGAGAACCGGGTAGCTGAACCACCAGCCGGCAGGGTAGTCTGCACCCCCTTAAACTGCGGGGGTGGTATGCAGTGACGGGCAGGTGTCACCGGGCTCCCAGGGACTGGTCTCGAGGCAGTGACGGGCAGGTGTCACCGGGCTCCCAGGGACTGGTCTCGAGGCAGTGACGGGCAGGTGTCACCGGGCTCCCAGGGACTGGTGTCGAGGCAGTGACGGGCAGGTGTCACCGGGCTCCCAGGGACTGGTGTCGAGGCAGTGACGGGCAGGTGTCACCGGGCTCCCAGGGACTGGTGTCGAGGCAGTGACGGGCAGGTGTCACCGGGCTCCCAGGGACTGGTCTCAAGGCGCAGTGCAGACCCAGCTTTCCGAGAGCTCCTGTGCGAGGACAGCAGGTACACCTTGGACCAAGGCTACCGTGTGGCCATCAGTGTTGTCTGCGCTCGGCACGGATGGCCTGCCCTAGTTCAAACTTACTGGGGTCTGCTTCCCTCTGCGCCCTTTCTGAACTGCCTACAATAAGCGCACATTCCTTTCATCTTGTCTGAAGAGGACCTTGAAGTAGCAGCGTCCAGTTCCACTCCCACTCCGCGAGCCCCCTCCAGCACCGGCGACTTGGTTGCTGAGTCAGCCAAGCTCTGCTGTGCTGGCAAGCGGCCCTCCTGGTTGGGACGTGCCAGGAGCCTGGGCTTGACCCCAGCTCACTTCCTTCCTATCCTTTCATCTTCATCTATGACAAAAAATTCCTGCAGGTGCCAGTTGTTCCCCTGTCCATCCACACAGCTGATCCAGAACTCTGCCGCTGGCCGTGCCTGCCAAAGCCCCCTCATCCAACACCCCTGGCTGGGTCCTCCCTTGGGGACAGGGGCCCCGAGGTGAACATAGCAGCACCTCCTTGACTGTTGGAAGCAGCCTTCCTCTGCGTGTGCCAGCCCCCATGCAGCCTCTGGCTGCGGTCACTGGCGCCAGGCCTCGTCACTCAGCTCTCTCGTTTCTCCCTCTCTCCTGGTGCCCAGTCACGACTCACAAGCCAGAGCGAGGCCATGGCGCTGCAGTCGATCCGGAACATCCGGGGGAACTCCCACTGCGTAGACTGCGATACGCAGAGTAAGTGTGGGCGGGGCGTGGGGTGAGGAGGGTGTGAACTGCTCTGTGGGACCCACCACTCGCCACCGGGGCCTTGCCGCCGCCCGTGTGCTCCTCTGCTTCGAGGCTGGCAGGTGCACGAATGTGCCGAGAGCAGCCGTCATGGCGGCAGCACAGGGCTCAGCTGCAGCTCACGCCCATGTACCCAACTGCCATTGGTTCATTCCTGCCCTGTGCTTTCTGTGGGTTTTGGTTTTTTATTTCAGAATCGTGTGTTGTGTTTTTGCCTTCGACTGATGTATGTCTTTCCCCCTTTTAATTAATCGTGAGTTTGTGACGCCTTTGCTTGAGCTGTTGCATTTACTTCATCACCCCACTCGATGCTCTCGTCCCAGAAGGCTTGCGTCCCCTAGCCTTCTGTCCCTTCATAGATGAGCGAGCTGCCCTCTGCTGGCCCAATCCGCAGACACCTGAATCACCTGCAGCTGCGCCAGGCTGAAACCAGGAGCCCGGAGCTCCACCCTGGTCTCCCCAGGGCCGCCTGGCCCCCGGTGCTGCAGCCACTCCGTCGCCTCCTGGGACGCAGTGACAGGACGCAGAGGGAACCCGGCACGGGATGGAAGTGTCCTGCGCAGGCTGTCACTGCTGAGCTGCCCACCCACCTCATTCATGTGTGGTGGCATTTGAAGAAAAGGAAATCCAGTTCAGGCCAGACGAGTGGCGTGGGAACCAGGCAGGGTGCTGCTTAGGAATGACATGTGTGCCACTTGGCTGGTCATGGCCATGCTGGGCCTGAATCTCAGGGACCAGGACACACAAGCAATGATCGTCCGGCACGTTGGGGGGTGGCAGCCCCCCCAGGCCCCCCGGCAGCGGGTGGGGCTGAGTAGCTGCAGGTGGCGAAGCGCTTTCGGATGCTAGAGGAATAGCGGGTGCTGCGGCTCACGGAGGCGCCGGGCCCCGCTGATGAGCGGAGAGGGTGTCAGCGGGGAGTGTTCTCTGGCAGGGAACAGGTGGGCGCTGCCCTGGGGGTGTCGGCGCCGTTCTGTTTTAGATGGATTAAGAGAGAGACAGCCTGCCGGGTGGGCGTGAGCCCTCACCCAAGGGGAAGAGGAAGGGAGCGGCAGAAAGGCTCCTGTCCAGACAGGAGTTTGTTCCCTAAGTTCCTTAGGCACCTTTTTGAAAAAAAGGCTGATTGATTGATTGATTGATTGATTGATTGATTGATTTGAAATGCAGAGTGATGGGAGGTCCAGCTTTCACCTGCTGGTCTGGTCTACAAAAGACTGTAGTGCTTGGAGCTGGGCCAGGCTGCCCTCCATCCAGGACTCCTAGCTGGGCAGTGGGACCCAAGTCCTTGAGCTGTCAGTCACCCCCTGGGGGCTGCCCCAGCAGGCGTTGGGACTGCAGCAGGAACGCGGACGTGGCTGTGGGCATCCCAGGCAGTTCTCAAACACTGTGCCCAATACCCATGCCTGGCACTTATTTTTTAAAGTAAGATGCTCAGTTTGGGTGAAGGTGCTGGCACAGGCCAGGCTTCCCACACTGATGGGGAAATGGAACCCTCTATGGGGCAGTTGGCAGTGTCTTCAAAAGGTCTCGGTGCAGTGGGCACCTTGGCTCCAGCTGTATGCTCCAGGAACCGCACCCCTCCACCTGCAGCTCCCTGTGTAGGGCTCCTGCTGACCACAGACAAATCGCCGTCTCAGGACCCCCGCCGTCTCAGGACCCCCGCCGTCTCAGGACCCCCAGCTCTGTCCACGTCTCCTGTCAGATTGGTCGCACACTGGCCAGCCTAGGACGCCGGCTCCTGCAGCCTCATGCTGTACCATGCAGTTTTCTTCTGTCATCCCTGTTGGCCTTCTGCCACAGGAAGCTGTGCTCGGCTGGCAGGTGCAGCCCGGGAGCTAGCCCAGCCACCCTGGTGGAATCTATCACAGAGCCCCTGTAACCCAAGCCAGCAGGTGGCACAGCGTAATAGCCACTGCTCTGAGGACCTTGCAGCTTGGCAGCCTCAGGGGTGGGAGCTGAGGCCAGGCGAGGAGGACAGCCTTGCAAGGGAGAGACCAGAGGAAGAAAAAAGGCACAGGAGTGGGGGTCCTGGCAGTGCTGGCCGGGGTCAGGGTCACAGCACAGGAAAGGAGAAGCCAGGCACTGGCAATAGGATGCAGCAGGTCAAGTTAGCCACCTGTGGTGCCAGTATCCCATACTGGTACTGATTGGAGTCCCAGCTGCTGCGCTTCCAATCCAGCTACCTGCTGTTGTACCTGGGAAAGCAGCAGGGGGATGGCCCCAACGTGGGACACCTGGAGGAAGGGCTTGGTGCCTGGTTCTGGCCTGGGCCAATGCTGCCTGTCGTGGCCATGGGTCTCTGGGTCGCCATCTATCTCTAACCCCATGGATGAGTGTGTCCCCATGGCAGGGGTCATGCCTGGCCATGGGATTGCAGATGGAGAAGCCTGGGTCTCAGAGTCTTCGAAGCTAGCACATGATCTGAGCACTGTGGAGGGATGTGAGGCAGGTGGCACGGGGGCCATATGCCAAGCCTCACCCTCGGGCCCCGGGCTGGGATGAAGCGGGAGGGACCCAGTGGCTCTGGAACTGAGGGAATGATGCACAGCTCGGTGGGGGCAGCACGTGGAGAGCGGGAGGGGCGGGACGTCCAGCCTTGAGTCAGCTGGGAACAGGAAGGACCAGGTCCCTGGGAGGGCACTCAGTGCTTGTCGTGTGACACGCAAGGCCTGCCTGCGCCTCGTCCCGGTGCACACCACACAACCTCCCCCTGCTGAGGTCGGATGCCCCTTGTACCCCTGAGCATTTTTAGCAGGTCCCCGATGGCACGCAGAACAGCTGGCTTTGTGGTGGTTGCCGTCGCAGGCACACCATCAAATGTGACCCTCAGTTGTTCCCTGGTCAGGTTTTTTTTTTAAGATTTATTTATTTTTATTATATAAAGTCAGATATACAGAGAGGAGGAGGGACAGAGGAAGATCTTCCGTCCAATGGTTCACTCCCCAAGTGACCGCAATGGCCAGTGCTGCACCAATTCGAAGCCGGGAACCAGGAACCTCTTCCGGGTCTCCCACGTGGGTGCAGGGTCCCAAGATTTGGGGCCGTCCTCGGCTGCTTTCCCAGGTCACAAGCAGGGAGGTGGATGGGAAGTGGAGTGGCCAGGATTAGAACCAGCGGCCATATAGGATCCCTGTGCATTCAAGGCAAGGACCCTAGCCACGAGGCCATGGTGCCGGGCCCTTCCCTGGTAAGTTTTGCCCTCTACTAAATTGCCCCCAGTTCCCACCAGCCCCAGGCCAAACCAGGCTGCTGTGTGTCCTCACACTTGATGCGGGGTTGCTAGGGAAGTGGGTTCAGGCAGGGAGTGTAGCTGAAGCTGGAGGGTAAGCAGCAGGTGCACCAGGCGGAGGGCACGGCTCAGTGCTCGGGCAAGACAGGTGAGAAAGGAAAGCTGCCTTTTCGTGTTAGTGGAAGAGGACTGGCCTTGATCGGAACAGGTTCTGATTTGTGACTTGACGCAGTCAGTACTGCCTATGCAGCGGGTCCCAGGGCTTCCTGTGGGCAGTACTCTATGTAGTCAGTACTGCATGCAGGCATCCTGTGGTCAGTACTGCGTGTGGTCAGTACTGCGTGTGGTCAGCACTGCGTGTGGCCTTCCTGCAGTCAGCACTGCGTGTGCTTCCTGTGGGGACAGATGTACAGGCAGGAGCCCACAGCACCCCCACTGTGCCAGTGGTAAGGAGGAGGGCCAGAGCAGTGGGTGTGAGAGGAAAGGGCCAAGACTGGCATGGCACAGTTAAGCTGCCACTTGCAATGCCAGCATTCCATATGGGACCAGTTCGTGTCCTGGCTGCTCCACTTCTGATCCAGTTCCTTGCTAATACGCGTGGGAAAGCAGGAGAAGGTGGCCCGAGTGCTTAGGGCCCTGCACCCACGTGGCAGACCCCGGAGAAGCCACTGTGACCATTTGGAGAATAAGCCTACAGGTCAAAGACTTTGTTTCTGTCTGTCTGACTCTGTCTTTCAAATAAATAAATAATTGAAAAGTTTGGGTTTGAGAGCGAGCGGTGACTCTGGCTGGTGCTCAGGGTCCTGCCTTGAGGACCTGGCCGGCGCTGTGCCGTCCACTGAGGGGAGCGCATGTGCAGAGAGTCGGGGAGATTGGTCTAGGACGCCTGCATGGCCCGGAGCGGCTGCCTGTGCCACTCGGAAACCAGACGTGGTGCTGTGTGTGGCTCTCAGCACTGGCATTGCCACGGAGCCCGCGGGGCGGGCTGAGCTCAACCTGAGTGGACTCAGAAGAGAGGAAGCCGGCTGGGGTTTGGAGGTGAGGGGCGAGTCAGGAGGAGATGCCGGCAAGACGCAGCCACCAGGAAGTCAGGCGAATGCGCAGAGGCTGTTGACCATGGTGCTAGGGGCGGCAGCCTTGGGAGGAGCCAGTCTGCTGGAAGGGCTCCCACGGCTCCAGCCCGCCCCGTCCAGTGGGCAGGGGACGTTGGGTTGCAAGGCAGTTGTGCAGAAGTTGGGCAGTAAAATACAAACCCCCTGGTGAGAGCCACAGGGGAGCAGGGTGGAGAGGCAGACTGCTCGCCCGTCTCCCCTTCGTCTCCCCTTCCCTAAACACCCGCCACAAGGCTGGGCCTCAGCCCTGCGTTCCCGTGCCGCCTTGCCCTGCCTTGACTGGCACCTTCAGGTCTCTCCTCCCTGTGCCGGGGAGGGGATTATGTAGGAGGCCCACGTTTCCTGTTCCCAAACAGGGACCATCTCAGAGGTCCCAGCCGTTTTCCTCTTGTGTCTCCATCTTGAGATTCTTCCAGGACATGTTGCCAAGTTCAAGGGAAAGAGAGCTTCGGGGGCGGGGAAATCCACAGTGGTTTGGGTTTTTTTGTTTGTAGTTTTTTTTTTTTTTTTCATCATACACCTTTCCCATGAACTTGAAAATAAAGGGCTCTGGCTTCTGACCAACGAGTCCAAGGCCATGCATGGAATAAAGGACAATTGCTGAACGAGTTAGGTGTGACAGTGGCCACTCTGGTGTACCTGGCATAGATCGTCGGGTACTCGTGGCTGAGCTCCAGGCCTCTCGGCAGAGGTGATGGTCACCCCACCTTGGCCCTCTGAGTGCTCCAGCAGTGAGGGTGTGTCCATTGTCTCAGCTGACTCGGCATCCTGCACAACTGCGTCCTTGGTTTCGTAGTACAAAGCATATCGCATCCTTCCTGTGAGGAGTGGCTCCTGGAGCTGGGTGGCGGCATAGCCAGGGGACCAGACCCTGCTGAGACCCGAGAGTGCCCCGTGGTGACCCACCAGAAGGACCACTGAAATCCCCACGTGTGCCTCCCCGGCTCAGCCACTCGCAGACATGTGCGTCACGTACCTAAGCAAGACTTCCACTGACGCTGATGGTCAGGGCCTGGGGACTGAGCAGAGTCGTGCTCTCGGCTTCCCCTCTGGTGCCCCTGCTGTGGGGATGCCCTCGGCGGATGCCAGCCCCCACATGGCCCAGCCCTCTCTCTAGGATGTGGAAGCTTTGGGAAGTTCACCCTTCTCTCCAGGTCAATACTTGGAATTGTCCATTATATGAAAAATGTCAAGGCCTTGGCTAGAGCCAGGTTTTTCAGTGTTGCTACAACATGCCGAGTCCTTTGAGATCCTGAAATGGGCAGTGAGCGCTCACTCGTCATGTGACTGGGGAGGAATATAGCTGCTGGAGGCGGAGTTTGGCAGCTCATTTTGCTGTAAGAGTCTGAAGTCTGGGGCCGGTGCATTGGCTCAACTGGCCAATCCTCTAGCATGGCACCCCATATGGGCACCAGCTCGTGTCACAGCTGCTTCACTTCCCTTCAAGCTGCCTGCTCATTGGCCTGGGAAAGCAGGGGAGGATGGCCCAGACCCTGTGCCCACAGGGGAGACCCGGAAGTTCCTGGCTGCTGTCTTCAGATCAGCTCAGCTCCAGCCATTGAGGCCGTTTGGGGAACGAACCAGTGGACAGAGGATCTCTCTCTTCGTCTCTCCTTTCCATCAGTCTACCTTTCCAATAAAAACAAAGAATCTTTAAAAAACAACTCTAAAGTGTCCTGGCAGTGGTGGTGTTCTCACTGTTGGCTCTTGTTCTTCCTGTAGACCCCAACTGGGCCAGTTTGAACTTGGGAGCCCTCATGTGCATCGAGTGCTCAGGGATCCACCGCAACCTCGGCACGCACTTGTCGCGGGTACGTTCCCTGGACCTGGACGACTGGCCGGTCGAGCTCATCAAGGTCATGTCGTCCATCGGCAACGAGCTGGCCAACAGCGTCTGGGAGGAGAACTGCCAGGGCCGGACGAAGCCCTCCCTGGACTCCACCAGGTAGGACTGTGGGAGGGCGGTGGCCGCGGTGCTTTGGCCAGTGGTGACCCCCCGGAAGAGACCTCGGCGGGCCACGTAGGAATGCCACCGAGCGAGCCGGGCGACCTCCGCTTGCCAGGCTGCTCTAAAGCGCGTGCGGGGAGCTGCAGCTCCTTCGTCCCTCGTGTTGGTTTTACACCTTGCAGATCTCCCCAGGAATGGATGATGCTTCTAGCGTTATGAATGATTGCATTTCTAGTGGGCATGACTGTAAACTCTAATTATGAAGTTTGGATTCTTTAATTTGGTTATTCTTATATGTTTGATAAGCATCTGCTCTGTTGCTTCCCCCCACCACACACGTAATTTTATGATGACAAAATATATTTTATTTTCTAAAACACATATCCAGCATGTTTAATCAGCTGAGTTTGGCATAACATGTGCAGACACCTCGTTAATGTTAATTGTTACCCTGTGTAACAAACGCATTTGTTTTGAAGCCATTTAGCTTCTCATTTTTCATTGACAGCTATTATAAGCCACTTTGGAGAACACATGCATATTTCATGTTCCTGAGCAGTGGCAGGGCAGTGCGGAGCACTGAGCACCTGAGGAGGCCTGGGTGCTGTAGGCACAGTAGACTTGAGCTGCTCCCAGCGCTAGATGAGCCATTGGCTTGCAGGCTTGCTCGGGGGCGGGGGGTATTGGGAGTGCTGGTGGTGATGCGGGTGGGGGGGTGTACATGTGTGCTGGCGCTCCCTGTGAGGTCAGGGGGTGGGTCTGCTGCGTCAGCGTAGAGGCAGAGGCTGGGAGAGGCTGGGAGAGGCTGGCGCTCCCTGTGAGGTCAGGGGGTGGGTCTGCTGCGTCAGCGTACAGGCAGAGGCTGGGAGAGGCCAGAAGAGGCCGGGAGAGGCTGGCGCTCCCTGTGAGGTCAGGGGGTGGGTCTGCTGCGTCAGCATAGAGGCAGAGGCTGGGAGAGGCTGGCGCTCACTGTGAGGTCAGGGGGTGGGTCTGCTGCGTCAGCGTAGAGGCAGAGGCTGGGAGAGGCCGGGAGAGGCCTCTGGTCGAGGCTGTCTTGGCGGTTTTCTCAGCTTTTTTTGCTGATGACCCTGTGAGCGTCCGAGCGTAAGAGCACATCAACCACTCAAAACTGGTTTCTGCAAGGGAGCGTGGTCACGCGGCGTGGCCTTGGTCCGTTGCCACTGCAGAGAGCTCTGTGGCGCCGCCTCTGGCCCACTGTGTGACTGACCCTGCTGTCTGCATTGGCCCTCTGGGAGTTTGGGGGGTGCCTTGGTTTCCACTGCGTCGGGCTAAGAGCCCAGCTCCTTCGCGTGACTGCTCTGTGCCATCCAAGTGTGCATGACTTTGCTGTTCAGGGAGAGATGGCGTGCTCTGACGAGCTACTCTGGCTTATTGCACGCAAACGTAGAAACCAGCCGGGCATCCACTGTGCGTATTCTCAGAAGATGGAGTCGTGTTAACAGGTGCAGTGTCTCTATGAAGTTCATCCAATCTGTTCTGTGTTTTAATAAATAAAAGTCCAAAAACTACAGGTGATGGAAGGGTGTGGTTTGAACCTAAAAAGAAATAATTTTAAAAGTAGATTGACATGCAGGAAACATTGAAATAAGTTTGAAAAAATTTAACTCCATGCGTCTCACTGTGAGTAAAAGTAGCACTTTATTTTTAATATCATAAGTTTGAAAAGTTTGCTCTGCTACCCAGTAAAATCAGGAACCTTTTAGAATGACTGGAAGCAAAGCTGTGGGTTGCTTTTTGAACTAACTGCTTTATATTTATTTCAACCTGGTTCACAAGTGAAATCTCTGGAGTGCGGGTCCTCAGGTTGTAATTTACAAGTTTGAGTCCAGCTCTTTGGTAATTAAGCCTGCTGTGTGTTCTGTGCCCCCGTGCAGGTGTGGTGGAGATGGTTCAGGGGTCTCCTCTCACATGGAGGGGGCATGGCCACCCCACGCACCACAGGGGTCTCCTCACATGGAGGGGCGTGGCAGTGCCCACCCCTCACTCCTCACGTGGTTTTGTTGTGTTCCTGTCGGGCCCTGGTGGTGGGGTCGCTCAAGGTAACTGCAGATGTCCACATGTTCTCTCTGGCGAGATGAACACACGTGAGGATGGACCAGGTCTTTGTGCCTCTGGGCGTCGACCCCTGGGGTTGGTGGTGTTTGAATCGGGCAGGTATCCCAGAGCCCCTCTGGAGAAGGTACGGATGGCGGCACCTGCCATGTCATTGAGCATTTGCGGGCTGACTCAGGGATTCAGAGCAGGTGCTTTCTCCAGGTGGTGCGCTCCGTGGAACTTTCTGGTGAAATGGCAGCTGAGCCGGGATCTGAGTTAGGGGCTGGTTTCCAGGGCTGTGGGGCCGGGCCCTCCCCAGAGCCTGGGACGGCCTTGGGAGCCGGAGGCCAGCCGAGGGGCTTGCTTGGTGTGTTGATTCTGTTCCCGGGAGGACTGAAGGCAGCCAGAGGTGGCTGAAGGCCGGAGGTGACGTAGGAGAGTAGCTGGACTCCATGTGGTAGAGTATAAAGGATCCCCCGAAACACGGGCTGCCAGTGTCGCCACCTCCCCGCCACCTCCCCGCCACCTCCCCGCCACCTCCCCGCCACCTCCCCACCTGCAGCCTCGGAGCGAAGCAACATGAAAACCGCAAGCCTGGAGTGTTGGCATGCTGGGAGCGTTGGGCCTCCCCAGTCTGGCCGCTCCGCTTTCCCTGGCATGGTGGGTAGAAGCAGGCGCAGGCTCTCTCAGCGTGACCCCGGGGTAGCACCGAGCAGCCCTACTTCAGGAAATAGGTCTGTGGACATGGCAGAGCCAAGTGTCAGCCATCCAGGCTAGCTCTTCTGACAAGGAGTCCTGGTCCTTTACATCGCATGCACAAGATGCATTCTGACAGTGAGATAAAAGCAGACGTGTGCCTACCATGCACCCCGAGCATGCGCACATGCACACACGGACTCAGCACCATGGGGACGGTGCAGGAGGTCATTGTCCAGAGCAGCAGCCCTCCCCGGGGCCAGCAGGCGTGGGGACCCCCAGAGCATGGGTGCCTTTGAGCAGCTGGCTGGCCTTCCGCCCCCTGTCCCTGCGCCCCTGATTAGAGCTGCTCGGACAGCCCGTAATTGGTTCCGGGGTTCGCAGCCGCCCCGAGAGCGGCGTGCTGCTGACTCGGAGCGGCGTCGTGATCAATGGGATCTGACGGCAGCTGAAGCGATATTGACTTACCATTCCTAAACAGGGGAATCATTAGTCAAGAAAAGCATCTTTTAATTACTCTCAGGAAGAGGGGGAAAAAAATCTTTTTGGATGGATTCCTCAACAACTGACATTTTTCCCCCAGTACATTCAATATTAAATTTATTGTCGCGCAAGGGAGAGGTGCCCTCGGTCCCCCCCTGTAACGGGGGTTTCATTTGGAGAAGGAATCATGTTAGAAGGAGCGATCAATGCTCCGACAATTAACTAGATCTGGGGTGGAATCACAGTGCCCTCTCTAATTGCTGTTGATGGCATTCGGCTCACACTGAAAGCGCTGAGTGTCAGTGGGGCTGCGGAGGTGGCGCAGGGCAGGCCGGATCAGCCAGAGGCACGGCTCTCCGTCAGCCGACCCTCTGCTGGTGACTGAGTGCTCTGGCAGGGAGTGGAGCCTCCGGCCCCAGAGCCACCAGGTGGCATCAGGACCTGCGGTGTCACTAAAGGCCAACATGTTGAAACAACAGCCCAGTGAATGTTGTGTGAGTGGGAACAAGGGACCGCTGGTTGCCTGGCACCTGCTCCAGCAGGGCCCCGGGCTTCGCCGTGTGGTCAGACCTGCACTCGGCACTGTGTGTGTGCAGGGTGTGCAAGCAAAGCCAGCTTGCTGACCCCCTCTGACACCCTGCTACGTCCTGGCATGCTCAGAGCCCCCATCTCCCACCCCGCAGGGTCTCCCTAATACTCAGGACAGCCGGGGCTGTTTTGTGTCTCATTGTTACCCCCGGTTCACTTGGTCATCTCGGGGCAGGATGGAGCCCTCTGCTGCATCCGCACGGCCGTTGGTCCTCACCTCCCGTCTCCCATCAGGGCTTTCGGGTCCAGGACAGGCAGGACTGCAGCTTGCATTTGCGCACCAGGAGCCTGTCCACCTGCTGGCTCTGGTGCCCACTGACTCGGGAGCTGGGAGTGGAGACCTGTGCTTGCAGCAGTAGAAGTGAAGGCGCTCTTGAGAAAGGCTCTGAGCCCAGGCAAATCCCCCATCACCTTCCCGAGGCTCCTGGGAGGGGCCGCCGAGCTGTGGCCACCGTCGTGGCCCTCTTCGGCTTCTGGCTGCTGCTTTTGTTTTTTTCACTTCTCTTCATCGCCCCTCCTGATCCCCGCCCCCGCCCTATTATTTGTCACTTCCCCTCCCTGCCTCAACTCCCTCCTTGTCTCTAACCTGTGGAAAGATGCGCTGCCTTGGCTGGGAAGGTGTGGAGACTGACATCAGACGTGTATGGCAGACTGGCCGCGCACTTCCAGATGGAGCAAGTCTGCCCAGAGATGCGAGTTCCGCTTCTGTCTGATCCCGGAGCGCCACTTTGATTGTATTTATGCACATGGAGATATTGATAAAGGGGAAATGTATCCAAACTGAAAATAATTGGATCCCTACAGCTAACTCGGAGATATTCAAAGCAGCACCACTTGGCCGCGCCTTTGTCCTGTTAGGTTTGATCAGGAGATTACAATGTAGTAATCTCGGGGCTCAAAGTCCCGTTGTAAAGATGCCACATTCGCAGCGTGGCCTCGGGGAACGCGCCTGCCCGCGCAGCCCCGCCACTGTCTCATCTTATTATTTTTCAACAGTTCTTGGCCTGCTGAGGTCAATGTTTTGTCTTTTCCTTTTTTTTTTTTGGAGTGTTCTTCGGTGCTTGCCACCTTTTCCTATTTTCTTTCTTTAAAAAGGAAGCACAGCGGAGCGGACGGGGTGGGGACGGACTGTGCCGCCATGACCAGAGCCCATCTGCGGTTGGGTCTGCTCCCCA